CGTAAGATGTGAAACATTGAGTGGTGGAATTACTTGAGGCTGCTACTGCAAATCAGGATGAAGCCTTGTCACTACATGAGGGATGAGGATCTGGTGGCAATTCAGGCCATATTATAGGCCATGGATAGAAACATGAATCAATTGAAAGTACTGTAGTCCTATCAGATTGGAACTGTAAACTGTTTGTATGAATGTTGTTATCTATTTGATATGACATCATACCATACATTGTGTTGAGAAATGTTACCAGATATTATTAAGCTTTTCCTTGTTTGAACATTTATCAACACATTTATTTTCTTTATAAAAATTTGCATTGACTTTTTGAATTGCATTGTATTGTACTTTACAGTGCAATATGAAAAGAACAAAATAACAGAACAGTACTTGCTGATAAATGATAATGAATACAGCAAAACCTTCATTATTTCCAGTTTCTTTTAAATTGTTTATGCTGGTTGGCTACATTGATAATATTATATAATTGTAATATTTAACACATGTTTATAAGTGGATTGGATTGAACTCTATAATCAGCTATGTTTAAACAGTTCTGTGTAGGTATATGATGTGCTACAGTGTTTCAATAATATTCATATAAAAGTTCAGATTTTTGTCATAAACTTCTTTCAACCTTGTGTTTACTGTTGTGTAGTTAAATGTATATACCCAGTGAGTGATCAGAGAGATAATGAAAGTGCTAATGGGATGCAACTGGCTGAACTGAGGTATATTAAAAATTCATTTGTTTCACCTTATTGGAATCATCAATTGCTTTACTTTTATTCATTAATTCAGTCCATATTACCAAGGTCCTCAAGCAGTTAAACAAAAATCAACAGGCATGGCAAGAAATACTGATTAATGTTATTTATTTACATTGCATGCAAATAAAAACATTTGAAATTTTACATCAGCCTCAATGTGTTCTTATTTTTTAAGTAATTCAGCCTCAGTTTTCTTTTAAAATGTACATTTTTTTAATTATAGAAAAACAAAAACAAAAATTCCAAATAGAATCAAAATATATTATATATTTACAGGAATTTCCTGTCTCATTCAAAGTCGAAGAACATTACTTCTTGCCCTTCCTACTATGCATGTGTAGGCCTAGTTAAGTAATACAATACACATTCAGTACGGCACGGTCGACTTTGGCTTAAAAAACTACGGTATGATAGTCGACGGGAAATGCAATTTACTGTCTCTAAAATCTTACACTATTACCAATGTATTTTATTTAAAGGCTGGTATACTTATATCATATTGAAATATTCCACTAAAACCGGAGAACTTTCGTCCAAATTGCTACACATTGTCACTTTCCTCGGGACATTGTTTACATTAGTTACCGAGTTTACAAGAACGTTTGTGATTGGCTAATAGCGTCTCATCAATGCTTAACAGGTATGGTAATTGTGCTGTGATTGGGTACTGCTTTCGTGAACGACATTATTTTTTCGAAGATAAATTCTCATTTTTGGTTACAGTTTCCCCAAATTTACAATTGCCGACAATTATATTATGTTTCAATAAAATAGTATTGACATTTTTGTGCGAATGCCAAGTAGCGCGGATCGGTGGGTCACAGAATTCGTAAACTAAGCCGATTTTGGAGCCTCAACCCACGGTCTAATAATTTAAATGATGAGTATAGAAATTCAGCAAATATTAATAAATTTAAAGAAATCATTAATCTAATCTAACTTCTGATATTAAATTAATCAATTACTGTATGTATATTAAATTAATTAATGTATATGGTTTTGATTTATTTTAAACTAAAGATACTATTTAATTTCACATTTTAATCACATTTTTACTTAATCAAATTCTTTAATGTTTATACCTTTGTTATGTATTTTGTATTTTTATATTTTACCACTTATGGCCTTGCACGGCCTTGATGAAAAACACCCTTGGGTGATCAAGTTTTTCCGTGTTTAAATAAAAGTAATTATTATTATTATTATTATTATTATTATAAGGAGCCTTACCTTGGACTTGGATAGTAAATACACACATATCAGCATTACCATAAGAATCAGTTGCCGTAAAGACAATCTCAATAAAAGAGTTTCCGATTGGTATCATATCACCTGATTGGTATGGTGACGACACTACCGTCACATTTTCATTACTATTGTCACTTGTGACAGGCTGATCCCATGTGACAGTAGAATTTGGACTTCCTTCATCTGTGTTCACATTTATTAAACCAAAAGAGTCAGCGATGAAGTTGTTTGAAGTAATATTTGTAGGACAAGTTATAACCGGAGGCTCATTATCTGAAACAAAACGATAAATTATTTTATACTGCAATGGATCCAACATCCATGTGTGTCTACTGCAGAGTTTGGTTACGGTATTTTTGTTATTTTTAAAAATATTATATTTAATCATGATACAAAAGGAAAAGATTAATTGAATTGAATACAGGTTGTAAAACACTGATGTTTTGTTAACACCGATGATTACAAACACAAAACCTAAAAGGTTCTTAAAAGAAGGAAAAATAACTGCAAGTGAAAAAGAATTTATGTTTCCTACCGCTGAGCAGTTCCCAGGCTTAATTGCTTGCCTAAAATGCACAAACCCGATTAGTGAAATATTGTGAGCTTCCAGCATGAAATATCATTGTAGTTGGTCAGTTGATGACTTTTAATGAGTAGATAACACAGTTCCTTTTTGTACACTGCAAAGCTTTTATTTAGCATTAACTACTCTACAGTACATATTTACAATTGACTAACTCTGGGTTTCTCAGATGTTAAAGAACCTTTAGAGTGGAGTCAGCTCTTAATCTACTTCTACTATTCTCTCTCTTTCTGATATCCTCTGTGTCAGTGAAGTGGGGTGTTTGCCTATATTATACTCAAGGTACTGGGGGTGTGTCTAGATTTAAGTCACCCCATACTTTTAGAGTTTCTGATTGGACCATAGAGAAATTCTTTCTCTATGATTTAATAGCTTTTTTACTAAAAAGTTGCTAATAAGGATATATTACAAACTTCATGACAGCTTAAAAAATTTCAATCATAGATTCATAGTGTGTGAAAGGCCAAGTCCAATTCACTAGGGTGAAGTTATAAATGACCAAATTGTATGATAGATTATCTGTATATTCAGGTAGACTATTCAAGCTGTCAAGTCAATTTAAGACATTTAACAGATGAAGGGGTATAGATGATGATGATAATTCAAATAGTTATATAAGTTAATATTATTGAAACTTAATACTACATTACATTAGCCTCTCAGGCCCACTGTCGACAACAAAAATACAATTTGCTATAATGTTGCATGCCATCTAGCCAATATTTTGAAACTACTCTACTGTACATATAAATGATGACACCTCATCAAATGAAACTTTCATTCATTTGATGTGGTATCTTGATAAACCAAGACTTTTGTCACCGAGGCTGTACTTCTCATTCAATGGCAAAATGTACAAACAAACTGAATCTACTGTATGGCGATGGGCAGCCCACTCAACCATATAATGGTCAACCTGTACCTAGAATGATTAGAGCAACATGCAATAAATACAACACCACATAAAATCAAGCCTTCTGGAAACAGTATGTCGATGATGTATTGGCTATCATTCCCCAAGGTACTTCACAAACACGTATTTAAACAATCGATGCTAAGAACATGTATTCTTATACATGTTCATAACACTCGATGGAACAGTTACTACATCTGTATTTTGGAAGCTCACTCACACCAATTAACATCAACATTTTAATTCACACCATCCACTCAAACATACTATATACGCGTAAAGTGCGTCCTGCACTGTTCGAAAATCCTAGCTAAGACAATGTGTGCTATATAAATATAACATTATTATTATTGATTGTAAAGATAAGATAAGATAAGATACATTTATTACTCTAAGTAGGAAATTCAGTTCTCGCATTAAAATACAATTGACAGCAAAAAATTAAAACAATGAAGACATATAATAAACTATAATAATTATAATGTAAAAGAGATATCAAACAGCGACCATTAAAACATTAAAAGTCACCAAAACATTATTATTATCATTATTATTATTATTATTATTATTATTACAGTTACTACCGTTTTTCATTTTCATCATCATTATTATCATAATTCATCTTTTAAATGTTTTGTTAAAAACTCTTACACCTTGGGGAAGGAATGAGGAAGAATAGCGGCATGTGCGCGCTGCCTCAGTCTAATATTCATCGAGGCATTATATAGAAAAGTCATTACCTCCACCTATCCAATTTTTGTTCCAACAAATTTATTTCTCAATTTCCAAGTATAAGACAGTATTTAATTACTGACTTATCAGTAGATGAAGACTCAGTCGGTTTTGCAGCTATAGTCAATAATAATAGCCTTAATGCATCAGGCTTCCCCAATATGGAAAAAACATTTCTATTTCTCATTAAGGGTACACCTTCTGCGATTTAGAGAACACATCACTCTTTAAAAAAAATAACCCCAAAAATAACTGAAATAGGTTTCATCATTTTTCTGATTATGTAGGCATCAAAAAAAATAATTTGAAATCTACCAAAATTGATTTACTCTATATTTTAAATGAGATTTCAAAGTCAACACTTTCAAAATTATTTACAATAATTAAGAAACGAATAGGTGCGAATAGTGTGCTTTTGTTCTAAAATTTATATTGAAATTTTGAATTTTTTTTTTTTTTTTGTATTTGATCGTTGGTCATTAACAAATTTTTAAGATTCAGAAAGGACATATAAAAATAAAACTATTAAAATTCTCCTTTTTCTGTGTGTGTGTGTAAGACTTCCTATATTTACTGTATCCTCGTTGAAGTTCTCAGTCTTAATGTAATCCTCTCACTTTTCATGAACAACACTATTCATATTTGTATTTGCATAAAAATCTAATTATTTGCATATTCATTCAATTTTGTATTCCTTTTTTAACACTATAATGACAGCAATATATCAATATAACAGGATAGGTACACTTACTAGATCATATTAAATCTTGATCCTGCAGTAAAGTCTACATTGAGACTGAAATAATCTTACAGTACCTGTTTGTTTTCAGTCCCAATTGCTAAACATGTCTTTTTTGTTGCTTTTTTTACTTTTACTGTTCCTGTCCTTGTTAGGTTTCATTGTTTTTTGAATGTATATGAAATTTTATATTGATTTTTATTATGTATCATATTAATATTATTATTAATATATCATATAATAATATCCAAATTAGAGTACCTTCAACAGCGACAGTAAACCTGCAGCGATCATTGAAGTTACCACTTGAATCTGTTGCATTGTACTGCACTGTTGTGTTACCAATCACAAAAATATTGTCACCAGAGGTGTAATCAGACTCTGGTTCTGGTGTTTCTCCAGAGTTATCAGTAGCTGTTGGCTCCGTCCATTTGACGTTGATAGCAACTGGTTCCCCATTTGTTGTGTTAACTGTTATATCCATTGGACAATCTACAATCTCAGGGTTCTCTTGATCTTTGAAAAAAAATTGGTAAATTAAACTGAAAATATCATCTTAGAAACATTTTATTTTAGCCTAACAACAAGCCCTGATAAACAACAATACAATAACATTGCTACAATCTATGGTAATGTGATCAAATATCGTAATTGTAGAGTTTTGAACTTATAGGATGAGGAATTTGCTCATCATTGCTATGGGTGATAATTTTAGTATTATTATCATTATTATGATTTGTATTATTATTATTATTATTAATTTTATTACTAGTGTTGTTAGTATCATTATTAATCAGTAGGCTTATATGCTAATTGTGAAACTCATTTGTATGATGTAATAGCCAGTATAGCAGAAAGCATTGACTTGCAACTACACTACCAAAGTGAAAGGGTGTGGCAAATACAGGTTAGCTCTACTATAATTTCCCATGGTATTTATTTCTCAACATTGTTATGTATTGTGTTTAACAAAATATTTTTAAACCACTAATTAATTACTACGTTTAGCACGTATTTTACGACACCATAACTTAGTAGGGCCAATTAGCCTACCCTCAATTTGTATTGTGACATAGCATGTAGCTTCATTTCCTGTAGGCGATCCATTGTCAGTGAAGATGTATTCAATTATAGTTTCTCCAATTGGAAATACACCAATAGTCTCAATAGCATAATAAGCTGCATCAATTGTCATGTTATCTGGATCAATGTCTGTATAGTTGGTTGAGAACATGGCAACTTGAACATTATCAGTGACAGTAAGGTTGTAGCTGACGGTGCCATTCGTTTTTCCCTCATCGGTCACACCAGTAACTAGTGATGGACAACTTGGAACAGGTGGTTCTTTGTCTGGAAATAAGAATATTTTTAATAATAGACGTATTTTACATTAATAACTGTTAATTATTTTATAATAACAATAATAGTATAATAATAATACATGGCATTTATAAGGTGCTTTACTTAATAATAATAATAATAACAACAACGACAACAACAGCAGGAGCACCAGCACCAGCAACAGCACCAGCAACAATAAGGACTTTTCGATTTGAGTGGACGTGGACGGCTTTCACGTCCGCGCGAGTGGAAAATCCGAGCAGTCGACTGGTACTTGTCCACTGGTTATCTGAACGTTTCAATTTAAGTGAACGTCCATGTTGACACGTCAGTGAACTTATGACCTTGTGATCTGGGGTTTCCCCGTGTTCGCGCGCGTTACTCGAATACACTGGCCATGGTATCTTACTCAACACTCAAGTACTGTAGTCTACGCAGCTCAACATGGCAAATCTTCATCGGCTTCGCGAATCCCAAATGGTATATCAATGGGGTATTCAGGGCAGGGAGTTGTAAAAACATAAATCTCCCTGTTAAGGGTGCACCTCTCCTTCTTTGTTCAATATAGGATTTTTTTTTTTTTTTTTTTTTTCAGATCAGATCACTGAAAAATTATTTCCTTTTTCCTGGATACGCCCGGCCTGACTGAAGGCTGGCTGGCGGCCTCGCCTAGGCTTTAAGCTAGGCTCCCTTGGCTTATTAGCTAATAGGCTGATTAAATAATTACCTAATTATCCACTGAATTTGATCCACAAATAATGGATAATTCTATAGTTTGCAAATAGGACATAACTTAACCGAAATGCTATTTACTTACATCCCCAGTAGAAGATAATTTTGCCAAATTAAGAAGCACCGCGACTCGTCCTCCATCATGAATCAAAAGTTTGCAGTGATATGACGTCATACGTCTACTTGTTATCATCAGTCATAGAGCGAACGTCAAAACGCTGCTGAACACGTTCTCATCGAAATTCGACACCAAATTTGTTGATTATCACTCAGATGCTCTACCAGCTTAGCTATGAGGCCAACCCAGCTAAAAATATTACGTTCTTAGAATGTTGTAATAACGTTACAGTTTGGTGATAAAAACGTTATTTTGTAGAACCATATGTACGTACTTATAACCTAATTTCACAACGTTTGAACGTGTTTACTACGTTGTGTGAACGTTATTAAGTAACATACCTAACCACAACATTCGCGAAAGTTACAAGAACGTTTTGTGTTTTCTGGGAAGCTAGTAACTGCCTTAGATCTTTTTAAATATAAAATTTTATTAAATATTATTATTATAATATTAAATTTACCAATAAAGTTTGTTAAAAAAAAATAACAGAACGTGGTAATGATTGTTTACAAACCCTTAACAACAATTGTAAATGAGCAATTATTTTTGTTGCCGGAGGGGTCAGATACAGTATACACAACAGTATAATTCTCTGTTACATTGAAGATATCTCCACTGAAGTATGATGGATCGGAGAGACTAGTTTCGCCACTATTGTCACTGACATCAGGCATGTTCCAAAATACAGCTGCAAACATTTTTCCAACATCGGTGTTTACTACCCAAGCATCGGGGGAGAGGCTGGAATAATAATTTGAGGAATTTTTTGGGCATGTGATGTTTGGATTTTCCATATCTATAAAAGAAAAATGGAACATAAATTGTTATAGAAATTAAATAAGGTTACTGTGTGCTTTGGGTCTAAAAAAACAGTTGTATTTTATTATATTATAGAGGATTTTGGTTTTTTTTTAAAATATTCTGAGCACATTAAATTACAGGTGAACGTGTGTGGTTGTCTTTCTTTTTCTTTTTTACTGATATTTAAAATTGTTTATTTTGTCCTTGATTTAGTTGGTTATTTCAGGGCTTAATGTTAACAATACTATGAAACCTTTTTAATTTATATATGCCAGAGCTGTAGCTTTATGGTTGAGATATATGCCATTAAATTTCAGGTTCATGGGTTCAAATACTGTCAAAACTAGGACTTTTAAAAATAAATACAGGTCCGATTCTTAAGCCTTGTTTGTAAGACTTAGATCACCTTAGATTATAAGGCATACTGGGTCATGTGGCAGAACAAGAGCTTCTTATATGTACGTTAGTGTACGCCCAATAATGGTAAGTTGTACCAGATTATTTGCTGTCTCTTATACACATCTACCCCACCCCATTTCAAGACCTCTAGATACGCCACTGCCCAATATCACCTATAAAATACCTTGAACTGTAATGTAAAATTCGCCTGTCACATTGTTTCCAGATGGGTCTGCAACAGTTACTGCTACTTCGCTGAGGCCTATGGGGAAGTTGTAAGATGGGCTATTAAATGAAGTTCCATTTGTTTCATAAGAAAATAGAACAATTCCAGAATTATCTGTTGCATTTGGAGCTGTCCAATTGACAACAGCAGTAGGCTGACCAAAATCAGTATTGGCTGTCATGTTTTCAGGATAGGAATATACAACAGGATCTCCAGTATCTGAATCAAAATAAAGAATTACTGTATTATGATCAATATTGTATTAAATGCATTTTGCTAAGCGAAATTAGTGCTATTTTACATTTTTATAAATGACCTCTCTGATGGTATTGAATCTCGCGTAAACATTTTTGCAGACGACTGAAAAATGTTTAGAAAAGTTAGCAATCACACAGATGCTAATGAATTACAAAACGATATCGACAAGCTTCCTGATTGGTCATTACTATCTCAATTACCATTTAATATAAACAAATGCAACGATAATCACTTTGGAAGAAAGAACCAGAATCACCAATATTGTATGGGCATAGGCCAGGATAGGTACCGGTACATTTTGCAAACTGTCGATAAAATTATGGATTATGAATTTTAAGACAATAAACTCAACTTCGACTCGCATATTTCTCAGGTTGCTCTTAAAGCTAATAAAAAAATTGGGGTTGATCAAACTTCTTTTCAATACTTGGATAGGAAATCTTTTTTCCACATATACAAAGCGATAATTAGACCATCCCTAGAATACTGCAGTCCAGTGTGGCAACATATTTTTCATAAAGATTGTGACAAGTTGGAAAAAGTTCAGCAACGAGCTTGGAATGGTTCGGGAGATTTGATCGAACACCTATGAATCACGTCTACGCATGTTAAATATTCCCATCCTACATTTAAGGAGATTAAGGTCTGCATAAATGAAAGATTCAATTAAAGAATTTGATAAAATCGAAAGCACCCAATTTTTTTTTAGGACAAGAGGTCATTAATTGAAATTGGCAAAAGGCTTACTGAATACACTTGAATCTCGATTGGAAGTGCATTGGCGTCGTCGCCCGCTGAAGTCCACCCCATACGACCGATTATAGGATTGTCACGTACAGAGGGTCACACATCCTTAAGGGCTTAATAAGTCTCAATATTAACTTAGAAGTAATTTTAATTGTGTAGATTTGTTTTCTACTTAATTCATTTTTAAGAAGTACTTAAGATTATTAACTTTCTTTTCATTTTCTATACGGTATTATTTTTATATATTTTATACATGTATTGCCAAATGTACTAAAGTTGAATAAATAAAAACATTATAAAACAACTCTTTAAAGGTTTTTGCTTTTGTCTGTTTTGTGTAAATTTGAAATAATTGTTTTATATCTTTGGCAAATTTTGGAACTATTTTGATTGTAATTATTACTTTTCTCTCGTTAATAGTATAATTGGATAAGCCCATTTTAATAAGCTTCCACCACTCTCATTTCTATAAATATTAAACTATTGTCTCTATATAAAAACATAAAATAATATTAATTAACATCAACAACTATATAAAGATGATTCACGAATTTTTGTTTTTTTAAATTTATCTGATAGTATGTACACATTGCATACAGTAAGATTGATTTGATTATGGAAACAGCAATAAATGAATTTAAAACAACAAAAATATAAATTCTATATATTAGTTATATATTATTCTTACCTAATACTCGAATAGTTATATAACAGTAAAAATATTCAAAATCCTACTCTGTCCTCTATTAAGAAATGCTTTTGTCCAGTATCCTATTGCGTATGCCACATGACTAAAGCTCATCCTGCTATATCTCAGAGCCACGATGGGACAAGTGATACTATCTGCTTTGGCACTCCTTCGTAGTATTGAGCACGATGAAGCAGACAACATTGCCAACTTTGATCATGTTATTAAAATATTTGCAGATGTTAAAGCACGCAAAATTTAGTTGTGAGGTTTAAACAATGTTATAAATTCAGCAACTTACAAGACAATAAGATTAATAAGCTCTATGCGATAAGTACAACAGCCTCACAAATTAGGATAATGTTAAAGTTGTATACAAATTTCCGAACATCGTAATGCAGTTTCAATAATAAGAAACAGGGAAGGTGCGATCAGGGGGTGGGAAGGCCCCCTTCGGGGATAGCTAGCTCCCCTCCCCTCAATTATAATTATAATTAGAGGGAAGGGGGAGCAATTTTCTACACTTGCCCCCGGGTGCCAAGACCTCTAGCTACGCCACTGTTTTTGTCAGTATACATGCTGTCTCTTATACACATCTAGATGTGTATAAGAGACAGATATAAATCACTGTATTTACCTTTCTTTGATGATTTATATATATATGTATTATATATACATATATATATATATATATATGTTATTATTAAGGTTTATTAAACATAATGTGGAAAGAAAATCGTCAACTGTTTATCTGACGTTTATTTCAATGAAAGATTTTTTGAGTTTTAAGAAACACTCACCATATACGTAGAGAGTAAATGAGCAAATTGCATTATCTTCGCTAGGAGCGGTTGCCGTATATTGAAGAACTTGAGCTGTATTAATTGGAAAATTCGCAACGACACCTGGAATAAATAGCGGTGATGAAGTTAGTGTGACCGATGCTGCAACGCCAGAGGAATTCACGTTGGCTGTTATCTCGGGGATAGTGTAGGCATATGGAAACGCTCCTGAATTATTTACCACCTCATCTTCTACTGGGCAATTGTTGAATAAAACTGAAAAAACAAACACCACCATACCCAATTAAGTTAAAACACAGAGTTTGTTAGTACAACAACTAAAAATTCTCGAATAGGGGCAAGCGCCGCCCTCGAATAAGCGCCGTAGAAACGTGATTTTTTTCGCCAAGTGCCGCTTTCGAATACTGTATACAGGCAAGGTGAGGTCAAGAAACCGGAGCTTTTTTGCACTTTTAAAGCGTCAAGCAGGTCGAGATCCATGAAAAGTCGTATATAAAGACGTGGGTTTACCCACATCTTTATATTTACACAAGTAATTAAAATTGTTTATTCACAGATTAATCTCACTGATAAACAATTCTACTACATTTGGCTGGTGCATATGAACTTCTATTAAGAGACATAATTTCATTATCTTCTTTCCAGAAATATTATTAAACGTTAACTAGCACCTCATAACGACATTTGAATGATAAAAATCGGCTCGGTATAACACATTTTACCGAGTACGAAATTTAAGTTAGTGGAACATACTGCTGTTACATCTTCTAATTTTACCCCGCCGCACAGTGGGCCAGAATTATTTGTTTCAAAGTGTGCCAAAAGTCAATACTCATAAGAAAATACTGATTATGTTCATGTTAAGACTGTTTAAGGGGTTTTCAAACCTGCTGAATTCAATTAAACTATTTTAAAATATGTATGACGTCATCAAATTACTGTTTTTTGATTGGATGAGTAAAATATTAATTGTAACACCTAGGCAGATTCATATTACCTTGGTTATTAGAACATATAAGGGGTTTTCTAACCTGTAGATTTCAACGCAAGCATATTTAAATATGTATGACGTCATTAAAGTATTTTTTTTTATTGGACGACGTAAAATTTAAGATCTAGACAGAATAACTTGCCAGAGCTCAGTATTACACGAATGAGGGTTTCTAGACCGGCAAATTCGAATTAGAACATTTTACACTTTATGTGACATTATTAAAATACATTTCTTCAAAGAAAAGTGTGGAAGGTGGAGTGTTAAGAAGACACCTGCAGTACCCCCTTAGTCCGCGTCCACCCCATTAGTCAGCCCTCACCAGTGAAAATAAGCACAAAAGATCACGGTCAAACAGACTGAATTTACCTAATATCGCTATAATTTGCGTGAGCAATAATTGTTGTATTTGAATGGATGCTAAATAAATAAATGAAAAAAAAAAGAAATTCAATGAGCGGTCCCACTTCATCGGGCATTTACACCCATCCCATCACTCACCTTGGGATGCCCTTATCATCTCCAGAGGCAATTTGGCTTCAGATTTAGGATGGAGTCAAAATGTTTAAAAAAAATAAATAAAAAAATAAAAACAAAAGAGAAAGTGTCGGAAAAAAAATGATTCCTAGAATAATTGACTTCAAAATGAAAGGGCGAGAAATGAGATTTCCCGACTTTTGAGGTGTATTTTAATGACATTTAAGTTTTTTAAAGTTCAAGACTTTCCCTCCCTTGAAAACAGCCATGTCAACTTTGTCATTCTTATTACAGTAAACAGGCCTATGTGTGTATAAAAAAAATGAGTAGTTGCATA